TAACATTTTAGAAATGCTAATTTGTGACGTGACTTGCTTTCCTTCTTTCGGGGGCGTGCCTGCTCTGTTCTATCACTCTACATAGCCACCCACTGGGTGGGAGTTGCACTGCATAAACACAACACACGTGCATCTAGGTATGTAAATTGTAAAGCATTAAAACATGGTTTTACTAACAGTTTTCAGTATGTTGTTACTTCGGCATTCTTATTCTTATTATTTTGAAACGTGTATTACTATTAAATCACGGTCAAATAGGTTAATTTTGACATAGTCGTTTCCACCACAGTATTTACATGGAGAAGATAAGCCCCGCCCCCTCTCCAGCACGTTCTGTTTGAATGACAGGAGTAAACAGCTGACAGCCGCTGTGAAACTCCAGCGGTTAGAGCGATGAGAATGTCCGTTCGGCACCTCATGACGCATCTACTGAGTATCGGGCGGCTGTATATATATATATGGATGTATAATAAGAACGGCGGGAGAGTGTTGAGTACTGGCACGGTGCATGAGTACCGGAGTACCGCCAGCATGCCGGTACTGAGCAAGAAGTGCCGGTACTCCATGGGTCAGAACCAGAAGTGCCGGTACTGCGTACCGGTGAGTACCGGCCCAATTCCAGCACTGGACGCGACGCAACCGTAAGGTAATGACTGGCAGGAAGTGGAACGGTGACAGCATCCGGCCCACCCCCCAAAACCGGTTCCTTCTCCTCCCCCCATCCCTCCTCTGTAGTCTTTCCAGTAAGAGAATAAAGGCCAGCGTTCTCCTTCGGTTTACAGGCACTGTGTGTAAATTATATAGAATAATTATGATGATAAATGCATTTTTTACCACTAAAATACAGCAACCCATCTTTGATTCATGTTGTTTATAACTGGGATATTACAATTATTATTAATTATGTCTGTAGTCTATAACACAACAAAATAGGAAATAACAACAATAAACACGATTTAAACAGACACAAAAATAAACCATTTAACTACGTAGCCTACTTACTTTCTTGTAGAAGTACAAATGTCCAGGAAATATGCCCAAATCAACAAGAACTGCAAGCCGGCATGCACGACGCTCCGCTTCCGAATGCTTCTGAAACGCTCGTGAAACGCGCCCGGATAGGGTATGACGCCGGACCAAAACCGCGGCGCAGCGGTAACACGCCGCAGACGGACCCAGTGGAAACTAGGGGTCAGGGAATGAGTGGAGGTGTGTGCAGTGCTGTTCACATGAGGCGTTATAACGGCGCTCATGGGTTTATTATGACCGTGTGTATGAGGCGTATCTTGGACAGAGGAATGCCGCGAGCTCTGCAGGTTATTAACCGAGGTTAAAACCTGCAGGCTTTTGCAACGAGCCGGCTCTGCTTCCTCGGAGGCTCTCGTGGAGCAGACCAGGAGCGGGGAGCCTCACTCCCCTTTGACTCACCGCCGGGAGACGCTGTCTGGGGTGGCGGGGGAGCGGAGACGTGGGACGGAGCCCCTGCAGCCGCCGAAGGGCGAGCCTGACACCGAGGCGGTTGCTGTGGGCGTCTCTCCGCTTGCGGCCTCTGCTGCCGGTGTGTACGCCGCGGCTGCTGCAGACGTTGGTGCCGCTGTGGGAGCTCAGCAGGCTGGAGCCAGCTCACGTGCTGGCGACTTGAAAGGCACACTGGTGCACCCGGTCGGCCTGGCGGGCAACATACTGGTCTCTGGGGGCGCTCAACATAGGGCGCCGTCCGGCGATTATGTTCGCTTGTCTTACCCCAAAAAACGCCGTCAGGCTCCAGAGAAGGGGCGGCTGGAAAGCCAGCATCTGTGAACCCCTCCACCTTGGTGAGGGGAACAAATGTGGCCACCGGAGCCTTCAGGGTCCTCGGGTTCGCCGCCGCCCCCTCCTGGAACCTCCTAATGGCTGGGAAGCGTGGCCAGATCGGGTCACTCCTGACCGTCTGCACCCGCGAAAAGTCATTATGAACCCAGAGCCACATGAGGGACAATCTCTCACACAATTGTTACTCATGTTTACTCTGCAATTGAAGTGTCTCTTGTGCTTCAGTAACGGGGTGCTGAAGAAAAGAGGGAGCAGATTGTCGGGCCTCCTTCCTATTATACCGGAAGGAGCCACAGGGTGGGGCCCACCTTGCGGGCGGGCGTGGACTACAAGTGTTTTCAGTGCTGCGCGGGTGCGCCAAGCCCCCAGGAAGTGCGCCGGAGTCTGATGAGAATATTCGTGCTGGTCAAACGGCGGTACTACACTTCCTTTAGGTTGCTGGGCCCGGAAACACTTTTTCCCATTGACTTACATGGGGAAAGAGTGGTCTGTAACTCGTTGGATACTTTTTTTAAAACTAAATAAACAACCCAGTATGAACACTTGTATAGCCCTTATTAAAAACATTCGTTCCTCAAGTTGTAAAAATGTGCTAATAACGTTATTCTGAGAGTTATTTCCCTCTGCATTATGAACGCGCATCTAACCCACGGGACCGCGCCGCCCGGCACGTTCATGTTACGTGTTCAGCACTACATGAGTTTCTCTTTACCCATGGATGCACAATAACAACGGACCATATCGCCTTACTGCCAGCCCACGGAGCTGTAATAATGGATATATTGCACATGTTTGCTGTAATTCATAATTTGTAAAATATTATACTGCATACTACTATGAAGTAAATCTTGTACCGTAAATGTTGTATTAAATAAAGTTAATATTACCGACGTAGATTAACGTTCCTGTAGCTTCTTATTGCACTTGCAATTGTTTTAGTTACTTGTGGGCTACTTAACATGAATAATCACAGTTACTATCCTTTTAATCACATTTCAAAAAGAAATAGGCTATTGTTATTTTAACTCCACCACAGTAATCCATCATCAGCTTTACTTTTTAGATAAAGTTTTAACTCACAATTGATCATAACAGGTTTCAACATATACATTTTTATATATTACCAAGTGGTTTCATGTCACACAAGTATCATGCTAAATGAAGCTCTGTTGCTTGGATATCACTAGATCCTGATGTCAGCGTAATATAAAAGTACATAACAATTGATGTGTAAGTTAGCATCATTTACTAGCTAGCCGCTAGCTGCTAACTGCCGCCTCGTTAATATAAATCCAGTACCATGCTGTCATGACCGCGCGGTGCTGTTACGTGTACGCAAATTCACGTGCTTAATGTGAACGAGCCTTTTGGGCGGCGTGGTTAAAGTTGCGCATGCTCTATGAGTGCACATACGGGTACTTCTCAGGCATGCCGGGTAATCTGTGACGTTTCGCTCTCTCAAAAGTTGGGCCATTTTGTCATCATGCGCCATTGAGCAACTCTCATAGGAATGAATGAGGCCTCCCACGCTGTATCCAGTTCTTATTATACATCCATGGGGTGCGCAGGGGGATTACCCAATAGTGATAGCCTTAGAGGGCGAAGCCATATATGAAATAGAACCTCTCTGCCATCTCATATAACACTAACTTCCTTATTTATCTTTGAATAATAATAACATAAAAATAAAGACGACTAGGTCCTTCGGTCCTGAGATTAGCGCCTGCAAGCTCTATGGACCTGTCAGCTCTGGACAGCGCAAAATGCGTATATGAAGTGCTACGTCATGAACACAAGAAATCATACCCTCGTGGGGGCGCGCTCATGTGATTAGAATGGGGAGGCTGTGGCACAGTGGACTAGTGTGTTGGTGTTTGGATCAGGGGAGCACAGGTTCAAACCCCACTGCAGTCAGCATGTCGTTGTGTCCCTGAGACACTTCACCCAAAATTGCTCCTGTGGGGATTGTCCACAGTATTGATTATGTAAGTCGCTTTGGATAAAAGCGTCTAACATGTAATGTAATGGAGGTTTCTCCTATTTTTCCCTTTAAACTGTGGGTTTTCTTCGGAAGTGTTTCCTTGTACGATGTGAGGGTCTAAGGACAGAGGGTGTCGTATTGTCATACTGATATTTTGTACAAACTGTAAAGTCCACTGAGACAAATGTAACATTTGTGATATTGGGCTATATAAATAAACATTGATTGATTGAATGGAGGAGACATCTGATTGGCTATAGATAGAACAAATTACAAGTACAAATCGGGTCAACATCAGGGGAGTCTCAAAAAACCCACACACGAATGCACAGCGATCCATGCACAGAAAGTGGGTTGTGTTTGCAGGTGCAGCGGTTTAAACGGAAAACAAATATGTGTGGATCAAAAATACATATGTAAAACTTTTTTCTGTATTTGGATTTCATTTACATGTATATGAAACGGAAAACATGCGACACAACCCTCTGAACAACACAACCCTCTGATGCGTGTGTTGGTAGCTTGGCACGCTAGTTCCCTGGAACCGTTGCTGCTTCCGGTGTTTCCTCCTGAAGTCTGATCACTACCACTAAAGCGCTATAAGTACAGTCCATTTACCATTTACCCAGTCACCGGGCTTGAAGTGGTGTTGTGGCGCATCAGCTGGCGTCGGCAGTACGGCTTTCACCTGAGAGTGGGTAGCTGAGAGGGAGACTGAAAGACTTATACAGTAGTTCAACAAAAGGTAACTTAAATTGTCTCAACTTTCAGAAACTAACATTACATTAACAGAATAATATTCTGTAAATCTGTGCCAGTTCGTCTTGTGCCTTGTGCCATCAAGAGAGCCAGCTTTTCAAAAGATATGTGTAGCTGCTTTCACAATGATGACATGCTTTTCTCTTTTTATTAACCAGTCAAATAGATCTTTACAGGATCAGAATATTTTGAATATTATTCATCTTTATGGCTTTGTAAGATTATATGACTCTAACACAATGGACATGATTATCACACTTGTTTCAGTCATAAATCTGTATTGTCAATGTGCTTTGGCAATAGTATATGTTTTTAATATGGTCATATCAATAAAGTTAGTATTTCCTGATATTCTTCTTCTTTTTTTTATATAAAATGATGTGTGACTTCCTCAAAAAGATAAAGCATTTAAAAATTCAAACCACACCACACTTTTCCCGGTCATATAATTCAGGATACTTGCTGCAGAGCTGAGCTTCTAGGAAAGAGTTGGCATTCCCATGAGCAATGGATGAAGTCTATGCCAATGCTGACGATGTCAAATCCCTACGCACAAGATTATCAACAATACAAGAAGGTAAGAGTGTCAGTCAGAGTGCACTGTGGATTTTGGATTTACTGTATTACTCCCTGGTCTTCTCTGTGTTCAGTTCCCAGGAGATTTCTCAGAGCGTCTGTTCTCGGTCTGGGGCTGCTGAGTGTTTTCCTGCTGGCTGGACTCATCGGCCTCGCCGTCCACTGTGAGTCTTTCTTTTAATACGTTTAATAATGTCATTTTGAACGTGTGATTTTCTAGAGCAATATTCTTTTCTGAAAGATGCACATTTGACCAAAACATCTATAGTTTTTCTACTTTTCTCCTAGGGCCAAATTAGGAAAACATTCACTTTGGTTTGTGTCGGTATGATTGCATCAGGTAATTTAAGAAACATCTATTTTCATTTCAGACCATAACTCAGTAGGTGGTGCAGCTGCAAACCTGTCCTCAGTGACTGAAGAGAGAGACAACCTGACTGACCGTCTCCAGGCCAACGATCAGCTGATCAACCAGCTGAAGGCCAACCTCACTGAAAAGACCAGAGAGGTGGACAGGCTTCAGTGTTTTCGTGAGTGCTTCATGTGGGGGGGTTTGCATAGGGCTCGGTATGTGTAAGATATCAATTATCATATGTTTTGCAAAATACCTCAATATTGATATTCTAAGGCTGACTATTGATCCTTACATAAAATAGTTACAGAATGACACTTTTCATTAATGATAATTAAGAATTCGTTTTTAATGACTTAGTTGTGAGTGATTTGATTTATAGTTTGTTTTATTTTTCTTCACCCATCATACTGTATTTATATTTCTCTGTAAACTATGCTTATGGCCATTTTCCTTGTCTAAATTACTTTTAATATAAGCAATAGGAAGAAGAACTTAGAGGTAGTTTGTTCCAGATATTTGCAGCATAATAATAATAAAGGATAACAAGGTTTCAAACCAATTTAGAACTGTTGCCGAAAGTCAGACCCAGTATTCCAGTCCGTCTAGTAACTAACACCGAAATGTTGCCACTGTCTGTGTTTAAGTGGATGTCATTGAAGACTTTAACAAGATCAATCTCAGTGCTGTGGTGCCTGACTAGATCACATCGAAACAGTTATTTAAATCCCAAACAAGAGAAGTAGTTGTTCTGCAATGAAATGTGTGATCTCTTTTGATCGCTCTAAAAATGCTTAATACATATGTTTTTTCCTTATTATTACAAAAGTGACATATAATGCACTCAAGAGTTCCATATTTCAGCAGTTAAAGCAGTAAATCAACATTATCTTACAACTTTTACAGAGAAACCGTGTCCTGCAGGATGGAGGAAGTTTGGTTGTTCCTGTTATCTCCTCTCTACTGAGAAAGCTTCTTGGCAACAAAGCAGACAAAACTGCAGAGCCAGAAGAGCAGATCTGGTGATCGTAGACAGTTTTGAAGAACAGGTAATGTGTGCTGCTTTAACACTTGTGATTGTAAAACCCCCTGCTTTTATCAATCAATAATGTTTTTATTGTACATATACTAGCAAATCTGTCTATCAGCTATAATGATTACGTCACAACAATGGTGTTAATTACATATTTCTGAGCTAGTAAAAAGGGAAAAGTTATCTGAATGTTGATGTCCATCCCAGTAAACTACATTTTTAATATGTGAACAGATTTTCCTTGAATCGATGATCAAGAAAAGCCAAATCAACTCTAGCATGATCTATGAACAGGAATTCATCGATAGAATCTATGAAAACACTTGGATTGGTTTGAATGACACAGAAAAGGAGGGGACCTGGAAATGGGTGGATGGATCTCCACTGAATCTGACGTAAGGCTTTACTTTGGTTTTAAATACAGACGCTGGTTTATGTTTTGACCTTTTTAAATGTTTCACATGTTTCTGTGATGGGAGTTCACACAACACACAGGATGCATTTAAACGTAGGGTGTCTGCCCATTTCACCAAAGATTCATTTGGGTGTTAAGAAAAGAACATGGCTCTATTACTTATAGTTATTTGTATTTGATGTTGATCTTTTAGTTCATCTTGTTTTCCTGTAAAACCTGTTACAGTAACCAGAATCTATTTTGGAGCACTGGACAGCCTGATAATGGAGGAGGGAAGTTGGAAGAGGACTGTGTATACATCAATCCCTCCACCTGGTGGGAAGACCTGCCCTGTTGGAGAAATCTGCATTGGATCTGTGAGAAAAAAGCTTAACATTGGTGTCTGTTTGGATACTAAACATGCAATCATGCTTTTACAATTTAGTCAAGTTAAATCAAGTTATTTAAAACTATACAAAATGCCTGATTTCATGAATAAGAATGACTTTGCTCAAATTAATAAATCACATTTATTTAGTTTTTTGTTTAAGATTAATAACAGTAATAAATAAATAGTCATTTAATTAGTTTTTGCCAACTTTTGTTTGCCTCAATTAAATTTGTATTAATCCTTTTACAAATCTTATGTAACATTCTTATGAACTGGAAAGTCAGAAAGCCCAACTGCTTCAATTTAAATAGATGGCTGGAGGACTTCCTAAACATCTTCAATATGGAAGAAGCTGCTTTCTCCCTGTTATATTTGGTTAAGCCAGAAAACAGGCTCTGGGGGATGAGATAAGGGCTTTCCTGGACTCAAACCATCTCGGCTGCCAATTATAATTATAATAATATTAATAAATAAATAAAGAGAAATAAGCTATGAAGAAACAGAAAAATAATGGTAATATTAATGAAAGAAGTGAAATTAAATGGGAAATGTATTTATTTGACTATTTATCTATTTATTTATTCATTTATCTATTATACATTTTTTGTTTTATAATAATGAGAAAACAATGAAGTATATCTATATTATGAAGCAAATCATGTATAAATACAACGCCATATGAATACATAACATGTAACTGACAATGTAATCCCCCTACCCCCACCCACCCTTCATGTTATTGTCCTGTTCTGCTTGTGATGTGTTTGAGCCGTGTCTTTGTCCTTGTGTTTTTGTCTTTGAAAATATCTAATAAAATATAAATGTTAAATCTTTTTACATATCAACATAAAAACAGCTTATTAAAAACATCTGCTTGGAAGCCCACAGTTCCTGAAAGTTATAATATTGAAGGTGCCTTATTGAGCAGAATATGATACAAATAAGAAACTGTCAAACATTAATGAATAATTCAGACACAGCAATGCTCTAGTCTCAGCATTGGTCTAACGTGTGTTTATACAGTATGTTTTATAACAATGACATCTTGTGGCCATGTGAGTACAAATCTATTGCAGGTATTTAACATTCATAGGTACCAGCCACTTTGTACATACAGTAAGAACTAGTGCTGTAAATAAATACAAACATGTATGTATGTTTATCACAATAATAATCTGGGACTTTAACGTCAGGATTTGCTCATGTTTCATTTAAAAAGTAAACTGCCTTTTATTTGAAGTTAATTACAGAACTTTAGTAAATGGGCAAATTAGATTTAGCTAGATCAGGAAATGGAACTTTCTTTGAGCATGCATACAAAGATAAAAACCGTAAAAGTATATTGTGGGTGTGTTACAAGATAAAGCTCTTCCACTTCAACAAATTGCTGTTATCAGATAAAAAGCAGCTTTACCACTTCACCTTTTTTTCTCAAAGTGATCAACTCCTCCCTGAAAGTTATCTTTGAAATGATGTGCACTTTTTATATTTATGATCAGCGGCAGACAGAGTACTTCAGAGGACAGACATTTGTGTTTATCAGCATTTAAAATGAAGATCCCTGCTTTCACAACAATGTCATGCTATTCTCTTTTTATTGACCAGTAAAACAGATCTATCCAGGATCAATACATTCAGAATGTTAATCATCTGTATGACTTTGTAAGATGATATGTCTCTATTGAACACAATGCACTTGATTATCTCACTTGTTTCAGTCTTAAATCTGTATTGTCAATTTGCTTTGTATGTTTTAAATGTGGGCACGTCAATAAAGCTTATTTGAATTTGTCTTGACTCTCAGCGTGAGAAAAAACAAACAATTTCCTTATATCTTTGAGATAGATAATTATCTGGTACAGTTGCTAGGACTACCTTTAGCACTTAAGAGGTGTGACGTATTGATGCTGTTTTGTTTTATCATTTGCGCTATTGCCATTTTCCCAGGCATCATATTTCAAACTATCCAGATGAAAATATGTTATAGGGCTGTTTTTAAGACCTTGCCGCCGTGGGTCTTAGCAGACCCTAGGATCCATGCTCAGTTCCATGCATGTAAAACGTTGGACAGCTACCTTAGGTGCTTGGTAACACAAATGGAAGTCGCACTCTTTTTTCTCTTTTTCTGTTGTCACATGTGTTATCATTATTTTGAGTTTGCCCGTACAGGGTTGAGTATGGATACACTGTTGGAAAATACAAGAAAGGAGATACAAATTATGTACACAGGTTTAGAAGCTCTACAAGGTGCATTTATGAGAAGTGATTGGAGATCTATGTGTAAAGGAGAGTTGTTACAACACAGAAAACACAAGAATTTAAACTATGAACATTAATATAATGTCACTAACAGTTAATGGCCTAAGCAACAACATTTTAAAAAAGTGCTTACGAACGTATAAAAGTTAGCGCTGAGCTTCAGTCTGCAATGTTCAAAACAACAGATAAAGCCAGAAATCTAGGTGTAGTCATGAACTCTGACCTGAGTTTCAACAATCACATTAAAACAGTTACTAAATCAGCCTACTATCACCTAAAGAATATATCTAGGATTAAAAGACTAATGTCACAGCAGGATTTGGAAAAACTTGTCCATGCTTTTATCTTCAGTAGACTCGACTACTGCAATGGTGTCTTCACAGGTCTCACTAAAAAATCTATTAGAAAGCTGCAGCTGATTCAGAACGCTGCTGCTCGAGTCCTCACTAACACTAAGAAAGTGGATCACATCACTCCTGTTCTGAAGTCTTTACACTGGCTTCCTGTGTGTCAAAGAATAGATTTCAAAATACTGCTGCTGGTTTATAAAGCACTGAATGGTTTAGGCCCAAAATACATTTCTGACCTCCTGCTAAATTATGAACCATCCAGATCTCTCAGGTCTTCAGGGACTGGTCAGCTTTCTGTCCCCAGAGTCAGAACTAAACATGGAGAAGCAGCGTTCAGTTATTATGCTCCAAATATCTGGAACAAACTCCCAGAAACCTGCAGGTCCGCTGCAACTCTGACTACTTTTAAATCCAGGCTGAAGACTTTTCTTTTTGTCGCTGCTTTTAATTGAACTATTCATATCTTAGACTGCACTGTAACTTTTATCCATGTACTTTTTCTTTTAATGTTTATTTTATTAGCTTTTCTTTTTAATGACTGATTTTAAATGCCATTTTCTTAATGTCTTTCATTTTTTGTAAAGCACTTTGAATTGCCTTGTGTTGAAAAGTGCTATATAAATAAAATGCCTTGCCTTACACAAATGAAACATCAAGGTGGAGATATTGTATTTATGCATGAAACACATCTGTCAAAAGTACTGACATGGCTGTATTACTTATAGTTATTTGTATTTGATGTCCAATCTTTTTGTTCATCTTGTTTTCCTGTAATACCTGTTAGGATTTGGCAGGATATACAGCCTGATAATGGAGGAGGGAAATCCTATTATGGCAAAGAGGACTGTGCACACATCCATCCTTACACCAAAAGGTGGAACGACCTGTCCTGAAAGACCGATCTGCATTGGATCTGTGAGAAAGCTTAATATTGGTGTCTGTTTGGATACTAAACATGCAATCATGCTTTTACAATTTAGTTTAAATTAAGTTATTTAAAACTATACAAAATGCCTGATTTCATGAATAAGAATTACTTGATAAATCACATTTATTTAGTGTTTTTGTTTAAGATTAATATCAGTAATAAATAAATAGTAATTTAATTAGTTTATGCCAACTTTTGTTTGCCTCAATTAAATTAGTGTTTGTATTAATCCTTTTACAAATCTTATGTAACGTTCTTATGTAACGTTCTTATGAACTGGAAAGTCAGAAAGCCCAACTGCTTCAATTTAAATAGATGGCTGGAGGACTTCCTAAACATCTTCAGTATGGAAGAAGCTGCTTTCTCCCTGTTATATTTGGTTAAGCCAGAAAACAGGCTCTGGGATAAGATAAGGGCTTTCCAAAGGCCTGTACTACGAAGCCGGATTTTCACTTAGCGAGCTAACTTCAGGGAAAACTCTGGGTTTCCGGTCCTACGACGCTGGTTCACTTCTTAGCGGGCTAGATCTCCATGGTAACTATTGGGGGTGTATTACATGTTCTCTGACAAGATAAAGCTCTTCCACTTTAACAAATTGCTGTTATCACATAAAAAGCAGCTTTACCACTTCACCTTTTTTTCTCAAAGTGATCAACTCCTCCCTGAAAGTTATCTTTGAAATGATGTGCACTTTTTATATTTATGATCAGCGGCAGACAGAGTACTTCAGAGGACAGACATTTGTGTTTATCAGCATTTAAAATGAAGATCCCTGCTTTCACAACAATGTCATGCTATTCTCTTTTTATTAACCAGTAAAACAGATCTATCCAGGATCAATACATTTTGAATATTATTCATCTTTATGGCTTTGTAAGATGATATGTCTCTATTGAACACAATGCACTTGATTATCACACTTGTTTCAGTCTTAAATCTGTATTGTCAATGTGCAATAGTATGTTTTTAATGTGGGCATGTCAATAAAGCTCATTTGAATTTGTCTTGACTCTCAACTCTTGTTCTGTTGTCACCTGAACATTATTCAATTAATGCAAATATTGGTTTGAGTGACAGAAGAGGAAGCGACCTGGAAATGGGTGGATGGATCTCCACTGAATCTGACGTAAGGCTTTACTTTGGTTTAAATACAGACACTGGTTTATGTTGTGACTTTTCTAACTTCATTTACACTGAGGGCATAAAGTCACATGATTCTGTAATGGGAGTCAACACAACACACAGGATGCATTTAAAGTAAATGTTCAAATTTGATATAACTAGATGAGGCAATGGCAACTTTTTTTTGACATGCATACCAAGATAAACACCTCAACAAAAATAAATACTGCAGGTGTACTGAATGTGATTTGACAAGATAAAGCTCTTGCACTTCAACCAATTGGTGTCATCAGATAAAAAAGTGACTCGACCACCTCCTATGTTTTTCAACGTGAATACATCTAAACGTTGTATGTTTATGATCAGCAGCAGACACAATGCTTCAGAGGAAATAAATTACAAAAAGTAAAAAGCACACAACTGATGTTTGGTATTTGGCTTCATCAAGTGTCAATTGTTTTTGTTAAGGAGGTCATTTATAGTTTATTTGTGTATTTATGTAATCATGAACCAATGTAAGTATTTTTGAAATGTTGTTGAAATCCAGATGTTACATTTATCTACCTGTTACAAAAAATAAAAACTATCAAAAATAGTGAATCAAGAACTGCCAATATGATTTACCTTTATGGATCTCTATTTAACAGAATAGATTTCATTGCCAGTCGGTCTTAAACTGTCTCTAATTGTTTTAACTCAGCAAAAGACTCTTTCAGGTATCCACCTACACATTCGGGAAGGGGAAGTGAGAGTTGTTAGAGGGGCTTCAATGTGGCTACAGTTGCAAATAAACCTTCTGTACAAGTTAGCAAAACCCAGGAACTTTTGTAGTTGCTTACATCTTTCCAAACTGGGCCTGTCATGGACTGCTTTCACCTTGGCCGGGTCCATTCTTACTTGTCCTTTGGCCATGATGTAGCTGCGAAAAGAGACTGCAGAAGCATGAAACTCACTACTCTGCTTTAACGAACATGCGATTTTCCAAAACAGTTGTGCTTCACATGCTCATTTTGTTCATTTAAAAAACAAATCTGAATGTCATTAAGGTATATATGAAAACAATATGGTTAAGCATGTGCC